AAGACTGCGGTTCTTGTAGCTCCAAAAGTCTCATAAAAGACAGTACTGATGCCCTGTTTAAAGAAGCCAAGGACAAATTCAAGGGTTATGACAGCTGCTCGACTCCTGAAAACGCTGAGCTCGCATACAAGAAGGTAAAGAAACTATATAAATACACTCCCTATTCGAGTCACTTGGTCACTCTTTTTCATATTTCCATTACATGTTCACGCTCACTTCCTTTGCTCATTTTCTTGATTGTGCCTAAAGGAAAAACTGTCTATTTTTCTTATATCGCTTTTTTTTTTCTCATGTGAAAGTATCATTTCCCAGCTCTGTTTTGGCCTAGAGCCCAGCATGACATCAGTTTGTCGGTTGTTCTAGCACTTCTCATCGACCAAAACACACTTGTGTTCACTCAGTTCTCTAGTCCTTGGACAGTATTTCATGTACCCATGAAGTAGGGCTGTCCAATCCTGCTCTTGGAAGGCCTCTATCCAACAGAGTTTAGCTCAAATCCTAATTAAACATATTTGAACCAGTTAATCAAGGTCTTCAGGAATACTTAGAAACTTCCAGTTAAGTGTATTCAGGCAGGTTGGAGCTAAACTCTGCAGGGCAGTGGCCCTCCAGGAGCAGACTGGGCATCCTCTGAGCTAGGATGAAATCACATTGATGACTGCGGTGATCCTGCTAGTGAGGAACAAAAGTAACGAGATGATTGTGCTGGAAGTGTTAATGACTGTAGCGTCATCGTCTTTCATGATAGGTCCAGGACGGGTCGTCTCTGCGACAGTGGAAAGTGTGCGTGGACGTGCCTGCATCGGCTGAGGACGTCTTGCAGCGGATTCTGCGGGAGCAGGAACGCTGGGATGAGGACCTGTTAGAGTGCAGGATCGTGGAGACACTGGAGCATAACACGGAAGTCTATCAGTACGTCAGGAACTCAATGGCGTTAAAATAAAAAATTTTAATATATTTATTTGTAAATATTGTTGGAATTTATTTAATAAATATGTAATGCATATTTTAAATATTATTATTATTATTTATTTTATTAAATTAAATATTTAATCATTTAAAATAATACAAATAATAAGATATTCTAAAACAAATAATTATTTTATTTTATAGTAAATATTTAATTCAAATATTTTAATTAATACAATGACTACATCACTCACATACTTTTTTTCTTTTTCTATTTTAGGGGTCGTTGCCCTGAATGGTACAATAAGCTGTATGGTCAACTGTGTGCTGCAGAGGTGGTGCGGATCCGTGACTCCTTTACCTGCCTGGATAAATAAACACACACACACACACACACAACCTGGCATGTGCTTTGACGTTTCATTTCACCTCTCTACAAACTCTTACGTTAGAGAGGAAGATGATGATTTTAAACTCCCTTAACATACGATCTGAGCCCTTATATGATACAGACCAACGACTGTGCTGAAATCAACAAGCTACATAGGTCAAAGCTCTTGCCATTTTGATGGCCATCAAACGATAAGCCTGAAAGACTGGAAATGGGCGTTCCTGCTGCTATGACATCATCATCACTGACGGCACAACGTTTGACCTTGTTACTGATCATGTCATATGGTGACTACATAAAACGGGAGGTGCTTTTGCTTCTGAGAAGCAAGTATGTATGTGTATTTTTGAATGTGAGCCTATGTATAGTGTGTCTGATTTGAATGCGTGTATTATTGACAAATGAGACATATTCCATGCACTGACACCCGCTGCAATATAGTGTTTAAACCTGTTTCTGTGTGTGTGTGTCACTGTTACATAGTCTGCAAAGCTGTGTACAGTGCTTTCGTAATATTTAAGAGAATGGATTGATGGATGAATGGATGGACAGACATGTTTGTCTATATACAAGACGGAAGGTGGTGGCTGGCACACCTTTGAAATGAAGACAGGAAATGTGTGATAGAGGAAAAGACTAGAGCATGTAGACACTTAAACTGCACAGAGGGTTCCAACAGCACCAAAGCCAAAGCTGAGACCAATGTGGACCAATTATACATTGCAAAGTAATCCGAGGATTCAACACAGGACTCCAAAGAAAACATAAATACAGTTTACTCACTCTGAGGCCTGTGATTGGTCGAGATCAGTGCTGCAAACCAATAAAATTCATCCAGCTGTCTCGGCCATTTAACATCTTGAGCCCTGGGAAAAGAGAGTATTACGAAAGACTCAAAGGATAGGAAAAACTTTTTATTTTTGGGTTGGATGTTCAGGTTGGATTATAGGGGCTACCAAGGCAATAATTTTGTCAGAGGATGGTAAAGAATGTACGAGGGGAAATTATGTCTGTTTGTTTGTCAGTGTTAACCAGAAATGAAGTAAAAGTCTAAAATAGTTACAAAGCTTGCATTTACACTTAACTATAACCAGGCCTGCGGTCACGTCATCAAAGTAGGAGTGCTGCGATCACCCAACCGATTTCTTTCTGACGTGATGCTTCGGATGAGTCCAGTACTCCTATTGAGGTGCTTTATGATTGTCGGTCCTGGGTTCGATGTCTCGATTTATTGCTACTTGCGTGCCTGTCCATGGCGGTGTATCATAAACGTGTGTAATTTAAATGTATGCTGCCAAACTGAGAATAACGCATGACAATGACAGTTAACTTAAACCGCTCTGTATTTATATCACTCATATCGTGTTTTTGTATGCATCTTATTTTAATGTAAATGTTACACTAAGTTACAGAAATTAGAAAGTTGTTTATCTTTTTTATTATTAATGTTATATCTGTACAGATTAATCGTGGTCAAAATGCACTATTAAATGTATTAAAACAGCATGAATGGCTTTCATCTATGATGTTTTTGTGTTTACCTTAACTACGGTTATTAATTTCATACATGTCCATGCATAATATATATTTTTAACAAATTTCTGTATAGTTATGTTCAACACTTACATTATTACTAGCAAATAGATACTAAACTTGAACTGCAAAATAAAAAAAAAATGGCTAAAAATGATTCCATATATGTGAAGTCCTACACCTAAGATTTACAGTATTGAAAAATTAATTGGTTAATTTACATAATTAAGATTATTGACATTGATTATTGACAATTTATATTAAAAAAATAATATATATTATTTATAAATAATTTAAATACAGTGATCTAAATTTTTTTTTTTTTTTTTTTTTCATTTTTAATGGCCACAGAGTTGTTGAAGTCATGCAGATGTTTAGTATTTTATGATTAATTGATCATTTGATTGTTCATTTAAATTATTTGACTACTAATTATAAAAAATATAATAAATGACATCCCCAAACAACTATTACTATAACACTTTTATTCAAATACATAATACGCTTAGCTTTCAAAGGCTTGTCGTTTGCAATTTTTCATAGGCAAAATGTTTTAAATTGTGTTTAAGATGAAGTAACTGCCATTTTCTTCTCAAAGGAGTGAAACAGCTGTGTGGCTGGTGATCTCAGCGTCTGCTTACATAATGCATCTATAATGCTCAAACAAAGAGGGAATTGTCATTGCAAAGCCTGCAAGCTGAGGCCAGACTCATAGCCATACCAGGCAAATCCATCCCAAGTACCTGTCTTTCTCTAATACTCTTAACACTTCCAGCAATCTGATTTCCAAGAAAAATAAATAACACCCCTTATGGAGTCATGTTTATGAACCAATCCATCACAGAGAGAAACAAATGCATATACAAAACTGTGCAAAAGTCTTAGGCCATTAGTATTTTCACCAACAAAAAATGGTTTTAAGCCAGTTATTTCTATCTTTTGCTGTATTGTGTCAGTTGGAAATATCAGTTTACATTTCCAAACATTCCTTTTGCCATTAATTGTAAT